TACAGTTATTTCCAAAATGATAAACTGGATGTGCACCTATACATTTGTAACACTTTCTAATTTTTATAAATAGGTGAACCGCAACAAAAATGTCCAAAATTGCTAAGCACAGTTTGTGTTGTCTGGTTTACCAAAGTCATGCATTAGCTCATTAATGTTGTTTACGATGAGTTGATGTTTGGTCAATGATTTTGACTAATTACAGGAGCCCAAAACAGCAGGTTGTTCAAGAAGTTTCCAAAGGATGTTCTTCAGTCTCTGGCAGAAGAAAACATCACGTCCAATTTCCATAGCTGGAGCTTGTCCATGCAGGTACCAATTTAATAATGTTTTTTATGCATATGAGAATTTTTTTTCAGAAGTAATTTCACAATTCATACAGTGGAACAGAACCAACCCTGCTATCAAAAACAGAAACATTGACTTCTGTATTTCTCACACTGCTTTTTTTTTTTCATACTGACCAGCAGTGTTGGGAAAGTTACTTTTAAAAGTAATGCATTACAATATTGCGTAACTCCCTAAAAAAGTAACTAATTACATTACTTGGTTACTTTTTATGGAAAGTAATTACTTTACTTTTGTGTTACTTTTTCTCACCTGGACTGGGCTTGCTAACAAATAATAAATTAATAACAGTAACACTCTTATTTGATCAAAAAGAAAAGAAAAGTGAGGTCAACAGTGAGATTAAATACATAAAGTGCATTTGTGTTATTTAACAGGTTTAATTATCGCAGAATATTCTAACTGTTTTTATTCATTTCTAGGAATACTGAATCTGTTTTTGAGCAAGTGAGATCATGTTTACACAGGGCACACAATGCATCTGCACCTTTCTCACGATTTCTCTCAACATGAGGACAGGAGAGCTGTTAGCCAATAAATGGGAAAACAAAGAATTTAGCATTACTTAGTTGAAAAAGTAAAGTATTTTATTGTAAATTTAAAAGTAATGCATTACATTACTAGTTACTTGGAAAAAGTAATCTGATTACGTACTTGTAATGCATTACCCCCAACACTGCTGACCAGTCACTGTATACCTCAACTATTGTTGTGTTCTTATTCGAGTTGTCTAAACATGATGTGCTCTTACAGAATTACAGCAGCAATGCCAAGCTTAAGCGTTTTTATCGAGTCCTGACTACAAATACAGATGGCAAGAAGGAGTTCATTTCCACCATGGAGGGTATGAATGCTACTGAGCATCTCTTTGTGTATGTGTGTGATGTAACCCATCATTCAGCCAGTCTCACCGTCAGCCGTTTCTCATTAAATTGAGTTCACCCATAATACTGTGCTGTAGTGAGCTAATTATACAGTTTTACATGTAGAAGTAAATATGTAGATGTTGGTTTGTTCAAATTTCCAGTAAGCGATCACTATGTAAATAATTACATTTATATACTTGTATATGATTTATGTGTTTCATTAATCTCTGTCATATATCCTGTAGCGTATCGATATCCCTTCTATGCCGTTCAATGGCACCCAGAGAAAAGCCCATTTGAGTGGATTGAGAAAGCCGGTATGGTGCACACGCTCTCAGCCATCAAAGCCACTTTCTACACTGCCCACTTCTTTGTTTCTGAAGGTTGGTCTTCTAAAAAATGGAAATTACAATATGAAGATGAGAATCTTTCATCTTAACCCTTTTCATTTTACTTTATGGGTTTGTTTTAAAGGGGTCATATGATGCTGCTAAAAAGAACATTATTTGCGTGTTAGAATGAGCCGTTTTAGGGGGGCGTGGCAGAGTCTTAACTTTGATAAAGAATATCTCTTTGGTTTTGAGACTTTAGTCTTTGCAACTTCAGGGATCTTATCTATGCACAATCAGCTTGTAACACTCCAAAGAGAAAGGAAAACTTGAAATCGCATCATATGACCCCTTTAAGCAGTATATTCTTTCTGACCATTTAATTTATTCATTCATGTGCTAATGGTCTTTTTCAGCAATGAAAAACCATCATCAGTTTTCTTCGCAAAGCGAAGAAGAAAAAGCTCTGATTTACAACTATCAGCCTGTCTTCAAAGGCCTCAACAGCATCTTCCTGCAAAATTACTACTTTGATTAAGTGCTTACAGTATTCTTTGTGGCAGAAAAATGATTTATTTTATTTGTTTTTAAGTATTGTTTTTATTTCTTTGCTCAAAAGTTCACCAGAACCTGATGTTTGGAATGCTGGGATGCATAATTGTAACATTCATGCTTCTAATTCACTCATGTAGCTCGATTGTAGATTCTGGATGTAGATGTGACGTATTTTAGAATCATCATGGCTGAATGTATCGATGCTGTTATATCCAATTCAGAAGTCATGTTATATATCTTCTAGTGCCATCGTTCAGAAGTTGAACATTGTAATGTTTCACAGGGTTCAGCAGCATGACCAATGCAATGTTAAAATGTTCTATTACTTTAGCAATATCAGAGAAAATAAAATATGGATTTAAACTTTAATCTTGTTTTAACTGTTCAAAATCCTTAAATATAATTACATTTTAGATGGTAACTCATTCATTATTCAGTAGAGGGCAGCAGTGACAGTCTATACTTTGTGGTGCGTTTAAGAAGTGCCGGACAAAACTTCTCAAATTTTTAATTTTTTTTAATTTTTAAGAGGTGGTATACCATAAAATTACCAGAAAACAACGAGATCTAAACCTCCTTACAATCAGATACATAAGCAGTTTGAGGTACAAAATCAAAATGGAGAAAGTGCAAATTTGCTAATAGCTCTCTTACCAGGACAGAAAGGTACAAAATAAGCGTTCAACACTGGCGTCAAACTCTCCTACGTCAAGGCTTAATAAACAAACAAAAATGTATGTATATAGAGCGTTCTGGAGTACTAACCATTTAAATCCGTAAAGCATGAACGGGTCACGTTTGCTAAATTGTGTACAATCAGTTGACCCCTGACATGTGCATAGACACTACATTGTTTCATGCACTTAAAATTAATAAGGAAAAGCCTTTCTATTGCGACAAATAAGATTGTTTTTTGACACATAGACTGCACCATAAACAAGATCATCACTATGATAGCTAATATGACACATTTTTTTGATTGTGATCACGTTTACGTTTGCGTTTAAAAGATTGAACAATTTCAATGAACACTGAAAACATATAAAAGAAATCATTATTTAGCTCCATTCAACACATTTCTATATGAAAGATTCTTTTGTAGGGAGAATCTTGTTCTGCTTTGGAGGCCGTTGGTGCTGAGCAACGTTAAAGGTGCAATATAAAAAATATAATAAATAAATAGCGACATCAATCCAGTAAGGAGCAGCCATTCCGATGCACAATAAAGGAGCAAGGCAGGTAGGCGTCCATCCAGCATTCAGCATGTAAAAACACAATATGCAGCCTGCTTAACTGTAAATACTTGCATTGAAAGAAGTAAAAAATGAGAATGACTGATTATAGTGTATTAGAGATACACTGTACATCTACAAAAAACCTTGGTACAATCTCTTTCCCAGATAGCACAGGTACGTCTGCAAGATGTCTGTTAAAGATCACTTCATCTGGAAAGCATCTGCTGTGTACAAACATCTGATAGACGTCTTTAAGATGTCAGTTTTACATGCATTCTAAATCATAAACATCTTAAAGACATCTTCTAAACATCTATTTGATATCTGATAGGAAACGTCCTATAAACGTATTGCAGATGAGCAAACACTCTAAAAAAAAAAACACGCCTTCCAGATGTAAACACGCACATCACATAGATGTCTCTGAGATGTATGTGTGCTATCAGGGTCCTCTTGTCTTCAAGTACACTAGTGTTTTTTTCTGTAATTCACCTAAAAGAAAAAGTTTAGTCATTTAAATGCCTTAAAGCCGTTTCAAACCTGTATGCCAAGATTTGAAGAATCTTTACGCACAATTTCATAAAACTTCTTTTAAAGTCTGTGTAATGGCTTATTTTTTCAAGATTTTGATACCTTTATTTACTTGGTGGGGTTTTTTTTTCATTCAAATTTGGCCGGGTGGTTAATTTTTCTGTGGTGTGACAAACTCAGAACACATTTAATATTGCTTTACACAGGATTTTAAGATGGGGTTAGGTTTCTACCATTGGTCAAAAAAAAAAAAAAAAAAGGAATTTATCAACTTTTAAAAAAAATTTTTATAGGCGGTCACTATGAACCGTTTTGTATGGAAACAAACTGTTGTGAAGATACTTAAAACATTTTTTTTTTGTTCCACAGAAAAAGTAATGCTGCGTTCAAGTCCTCCTGGGACGTTCGTGCTTACGGTAGGCCTATGCTCTTCATACAAATCAAGAGCCCTGAAAAAAAAAGTCAAGTTTGAGCTTAAAAGGTGTTTACGCCATATATTTTTTATAAAGCAAGGTATATAAAGTTGAGTGTTTGTTTGCATCTAATGCTGCGTTCAAGTCCTCCTGGGACGTTTGTACTTACGAGTTGACAAGTCGTAATTACGACGTCAGGTGTGTTCAAGTCAGTTTAGTCGGCACAAGATGGCGGTGTACCTTCTTTTAATAAATTACAAGAAAATACAACAGGGTCTGCATTTTTTTTACTTGGATTTCAGCTGCGTAACAAGAACATGACCAATTTAAGTTTATAGGACAACTAAACTATCAATTTAAACAAAAATTTACCGTCAACTACAGACGTTGCATCCATCGATTCCGCCATGTTTCTCACAGACACGCCCCCAACTCGGAAACTCGGGGCTTAAAGAAAAATTTCGAGTTTTCCACTTGTAATAACTACTTTGTGGTGGCGTTCATGTGCGTTAAACTCGTAAATACGATCTATCCGACATGACTTGAACGCACCATAACTGCATAGATTTGGAACCACATGTGCGAGTTAAACGACATATTTCACGTTTTGGAGTTTGAACTATTGCTTCAACAGTGCAAGAAACAATTTTTCTAAGAAATTTGTAACAAATTTTAAATGATAAAATGCCTCACTGATTGTTTGACACATTCGATTTAAATAAAATCTGCACTGAAAATTGTCATATATCATACAAGTCGCATTTTAAAGCACTTTTTAGTCCGTCTGAATTTAGTAATGCAGATAAAGAAAAACGTTATACAAGCCAAAAGACATCACATTTTATAGAGCAGATGTTTTGAAAAAGCTTGAAAATGTTTTGTGCCTTCATAGTCTGTAATGCGATTCTGCTTTCCCATGCCGTTTTTTCTGATTGTTTTTCCCGGGATTAAAGGTGCGTGTCTTCCTCCTGGTTGTCTTCTTCATCTTTCCCGGGCTTATTGACGAGCACCTGCCAACCGTTTCCCCCGTCCCCGCCCGCCGCCACCCCATTGGCGCTGTGTTTCTTCTCCTGCATCTCTGATTGGCTGTCGCTGGTTACGTCCAGTGTAGGGTTGTCATGGCAACCGTTCTCCACAAAGTTAAGTTCTTCGCCTCTCGACTTCGGACGCGCCGTAAACCAGAAGAGACGGAAAAACACACAAGACAAATAGTAAATGAATTTGAACCCGAAACGCCATTCAGAGAATGTTGAGGTTAGTAATTAGAATTCGAGTCGCAAATTAATCGCGCTCGAGCTCTGTTGACTGCATCATTTGTCATTACCACAGAACATTTGGACTCTACCTCAGATTTTTTTTTTAAAGCAAACACCATATCAAAGACCTACCATGTTTTTGAGTTTGGGTAAACGACGCTGCCAGCAGATATAGATGATTCCAGAAGCAATAATGAGCACGCAAACCGATCCGATGATCACTAGAACCACAAACAGCTTCCCGTAGTCGCTGCGGGTCTGACTGGGCCTCGAGTGGCACGTGTTCACGGTCGAATAATTCTGAATTCCAATCTGAATGAATTAATAATAGTAATTAAATTAAATAAAATAATAATAATAATAATAAATATTTATTATACATATCCATATTGCATAAATATATTTATTTTACTATTATTTGCTGCATTTCAGTCTCACCTCGTATAGACCTCTTCTGATTTCCCCCAGCATTGGCAGGACGTCTTTTGGAGGGATAATTTCTTCAGCGAAAAAGACATTATGAAAAGAAAATTAGACTAAAATACTATAGAATGTTTTTTAAGAAAGTGTGTAAATATAATGAACAATTTGGGTCGAGATAATTTTTTTTTTTTTTTTGCATTGGGACAATAACAAATAAGAACATTTACCCCTAAAATTCTCAGTAATGCAATCCATAAAATTATTGTTATTATCATTCAAATATTATCTGAACACATTTAAAAAAAAAAAAAAAAAAAATTACATTCAGTACTACAAATACTACCATATCACATGAATACTTTAATAATTTCTAGTAACACGTTATTTTATAGTGTCCTTGTTACATGTTACATGAACTTACAATAGTAATAAAATCAATTATGCATAAATACATGCAATAACCCTAAACCAAGCCCTAATCCTAACCATACAGTAAGTATATGTTGTTAATTAATATGACTGAGTACTTGAATACAATACACACTGTAACGCTGACAACGTAAAATAAGTGTAACCTAATTTCTTTATTTTGGTAATAAGAATTGACGGCACAATGGGCTTCACTGACATGAAAATGATGATAAAAATGTCAAAATGCAAAACATCTTAAACAGGTACCTAAACAGGCTTTATTTTCTTCACGCAAAACATAATTACTCATTTTATTCTTTTGATCTTGCAATGTAATACGACCTCAAACAAGCCTTTGACAGGCTTTGTAAGATTCAGCCGAGTAGATACAACATCTCACTAATGCACCGAACAGAGATGTGAGAGATAACGTGCTATTTTTATAATTTATATAGAGAGCATGAAATGAAAAGCCAACAAATTCAACAAGCCAACAAACTAATTTTAACAATAAACCTCACATTACATGTGACCACAGAGGCCCTGAGTAAGTGTGTGTGTGTGTGTGTGTGTGTGTGTGTTACCCTGCTCGCTGGCTAAGGCCATCAGCAGCTGGTGGTCCTGCTGTGTGGGTTTGCTGAGGAAAATGAGCCAGGAGCCTTGTGGGATGTTCATCTTTCTGGAGAAAGTGTTTTCCACCATCTCCAGGAGTCTGTCGCCGCTCTCCATACGAAACTCATCCTGTGAGACACACACAAAACACAAACCATCACGAAAATGTCACTGTCCTGAAATGGAAAAACTGAGAAATACAGTGGTGTAAAAAAAAAAAAATGTGACATTTATATTTGTGTGTGTATGGAGGGATATAAAATCCAAAATTAAATATATAATGAAAAAGCACATGAAGTGCTCTAATCAATAAATCAATAAATACAATAAATTAATAGTATAAATTTGTACAAAATTTATGTAAAAAATAAATGTAATATAATAGACAATAAAAACGAAATAATTAAGTAAATAAAAAGAAAGTAAAATGTGAGCATACAGTGCCTTGCGAAAGTATTCATACCCCATTCATTTTTTTCACATTTTGTTATGTTGCTGCCTTATGTTAAACTGCTTTAAATTACTTTTTTCCACATCAATCTACACTCCATACACCATACTGACAAAGCAAAAACAGAATTGTCACAAGATTTTTAATATAGTGAACAGGATACATTTAAAAAAATTAAACGATGTAATCAATAAATAAAGTGAAAGTAAAATGTGAATATAAATAGGTTTTAATTGTATGTATGTAAACGAAAAATTACATCATATTTGTCCGAAAATGCACCTAGAAATTAATATATCAAACAAAATTAAAATAAATATATGATGATATAATTGTATAAGCTTTAATGCACCATGCAATGTCACAAACAATAAATAAATAAATAAATACAATTAAAAGGGAGAATAGATGTTCACAAATATTCACAAATCTCAGTGCAATATAGTAAACAAAAAATATTAAATACATCATAAAATGGTGTAACCAATAAATAAAAATACAGTAAAATATGAGCATAAATAAGACCTAAGTTGTATTTATGTGAAAAAAAACATGACATTTGTCAAAAAAACACCTTGAAATGTAATATAAAATGCAAAATCAAATAAATATATGATCATATAATTACAGTATATATGCTTTAATGCATCATAAATAAATAAATACAGTAAAATGGAAATATAAATGCACGAATTATATGTAGAAATGACATACATGTAAATGTAATATAGTGGACAGTATGAAAAAGATATGAATGTAATAAATAAATAAAAATAGAATAAAATATGAGCATACTGTACATAAGATGTAAATTGCATTTATATAAAACAGAATTATCATGGAATTCGTCAGAAAATGCACCCCGAAATGTGATATAACAAACAAAATCAAGTAAATAAATTTATGGTGATATAATTAAATACCAATTGATGATTGAAAGGAAAAGTGACGTAAAAATATCCTTTGAAATAAACTATGGGGCCAAATGAAGCTCTCTACAGACAGAGAACCAGTGACCCACCTAAAAAACAGGTCTGCTTTGTCTGTCACTGAGACGTCATGTCTGAGATGTTTCTCCACCTCACGTTTGCGCCCAAGAGGCTCAGTAACAGACGTCCTCTGAACAGAAATCAGACTCAGTTTTCCAGCGCTGAGTCATTCAGACGGAGACTCCGAGCTCTCATCCAGTGGGATGGATTGGTTTCTGATCAATGCCTCTGCAGTGCCGCTCGGGTTCAAAGCAGGGCTCCATCACAGGAGATTTGGCAGTTTAGCGCGCAGCTGTCGGAGCACCGGCGGGGGGAAAGTTCTCCGTGATCATGCTGCAATTACGTGCCACTGGAGCGTTACCGTGGCAACAGACGACCGGCTTCTTCTACGCCGGCGAGAACGTGTATGTGCCAATGAAACATCACAGGGTCGCTGTTGTGTTCTCACACAAGTGTTGTTTGATAATGCATTGAGTTAGTGTTCAGTGATGCATCGAGCCTGATTGTGCTGAAAGCATTCTGTCATGCCTGACCAATGTATGTGTTCGTTTACTGGGGTCTGAAACAGAGAGGTTAAGTAAAAAGATACGATAAGTTGATGTTACTCGCTGTGTCGGTGTGATCCTTATCAAACGCAACAGTCGCGTTAGACAGCAGTAAGATTCAACAGAGAACTGAAGCTGAAGTCTCGATGTTTCTTCTGAGCGAAAGACACTGGGAAACTCACGTGTCTCCTCTCAACAATGTCTCAAGCTGCAGTGATTTGAGTCAAAGACAGTGCTGTTATCGTTGAATAAAAAAAAAAACTTAATTAAAATGAATTACATTTAAAAAACAAGACATTAAGAATTCATTCCCACGACTGATTAATTATGACTGAATTCATTCCCACTTCTGATTAATTTATTAGTTTCCTAAATTTAGTAAGTCACAGCCACATTGTACTCATTTGTTCCCTCATTTTAGTTAAATCATGGCTGTGATTTAACTAAATTTAAATGAGGGAACGAATAAGTACAACATGGCCACGGTTTACTGAAAAGAGAGAACAAATAGATCAAACGTGGCCATGAATTAGTAAGTCGAGGAAACAAATTGTTAGTTCATGGGCACTATATATATATATATAATTTTTTTACTGCATGTAATGTGTGGGACTATATATTTCAGTTAGTTGAGAAGGCAAATTAAAATTTTTGTTTAAAGTTGAAGTACTAAAATTACTAAAAGTAAAACTGAAATAAAAACTAATTAGACAAAGAAAACTAATAAAAAGGACTAAAACACAACATAATTGCTACAAATTTAACTAAAATTAAAATGAAACTAAAACCATATAAAACCAACTTAAAATAATAATAAACCATAAGATAGTATCATAATGAAACTAAAATAACACTGGTCTGAGATCTCAAAATGAACATTTCTCATCAAACTGTCATAAATCAAATGATCTGCTTATGATCTTTACTCTTATATGCCAATTATTAAACCAAAATGAATGGGACTATCAAGCTCCAAAAATTACAGAAAACTACCACAAAACCACTGTAAATGTTGCCAATATGACTTGTGCACTATATTTTAAGTCTACAGAAGCCATATGATTGCTTTATGTGAAGAACAGATACTGCGGTGAATGGGTGCCGTCAGAACGAGAGTCCAAACAGCTGATAAAAACATCACAAGTAATCCACACCACTATCAGTTAATATCTGGAGAAGACAAAAGCTGTGTGTTTGTAAGAAACAAATCCATTATTAAGACATTTTTAACTTCACACAATTCCTCTGTCCATAATATTGCTTTCTACAGTGAAACATTTTGTCTGAATCAGGAAAGAAAAATGCACAGATCAAGCACCGTTTATAAGTAAACTAATATGTGGATGGATTTTGATGTCAGAGGACAACAGGGGATGGACTTTTTCTTACTGAAGGAAGCGTTATTATGCATATTTTGGCCAGAAGCAAAAGTTTGAAGTTAAAATTAGTTTCTTACAATTGCGCATCTTTATGCTTCTCAAGATGTTAGTTGATGGACTGGAGTGGTGTGGATTATTGTGATGACTCTCATTCTGACGGCACCCATTCACTGCAGAGGATCCATCAGTGATCGTGATGGAAAAACAGATTTTTATGAAGAAAATGCAAGTGGTTTGCGTATGCAAGAACAACGTGTGGCTGGGATAGGGTTAGCTAGAGAGTTCTGGGTTGGGTTTTGTAAAAAAAAAAAAAATGGCACTTACACAGTCCAAGTTGTCTGTCATGTTGAGTATAACGTAGCCCTTTCCTGCGAGGTTGCTCCAGTCGACGCAAATCACCTGCACAGAGTGAGAAACAAAGAGAGTGTTTAGCAGTCGAAGGATCGCAGTGAATTGTTGTGGTTTACCCAAAACGCTTGCTGACAACCTGCCGCGCTGCCTGGAGAACAAATCTATAAACGTATTACTCTTCCAACGCAGTCAGATAAAATCAATCGACTGTGAAATCATTTCCACAAAGACACAACATATTTCATCCAAACAAACAATTGAGAATTTTATAGTAAGAACCACCTGTAGAATTCAAACTTTTGTCGATATTTTTAAAAGTTGAAATGAAAAAAAAGTACATAACATTACTTCTTACCAGCGTTGTTATTGTTAGCTAAAATGAAAACTATTAAAGATAATTTTTGAAATTCGGAGGGTGACATAATATATAGACAATAGATGAAAAACTGAAAATCAGAAATATTGCCTTGGCACTTACTGAAATAAATATCTTTGAGATGAAGTACTAAAATTAAAAATAAAATAAAATTGAAACTGAAATAAAAATAAACAATTAAATTTAAGACAATTGAAATTTAAAATTTAAGACAAAACTAAAGTACTAAAACTTGAGCTAAAATAAAAACTGAAAATATAAAAATAAACACTAATCCAAAATATGAATAAATACTATAATAACACTGATTCTTTCAAGGCATTTCTTCTTGTTATTATATTTATACATGATTTCATATCATAATATACTTTACTATTTGTCATATAGTTATAATTAGACATAATAATAGTAAGAAATGTATAATAATTTTAATATAATAATATTTAATAATATATATTCATTATTTAAATGTTATATAATATACAGGTATACAATAAAGATACTTTTATATATTCACATATAAATATATTTAAAATAAAAAATATATTTTATTCAATGGTACATATTTTTATTTTTGAGCAAAGAGTATCTGACCTACAGCTGAATTCTGAATTCTTTGGACATTTAATGCAAGAAGGAATATATTATTGCATATATTATTGTATTATATTATTACAGAGCTCAATTAATTTGTTATTTTCTGCCATTGAGTACCTGCTCGGCCTCCTGGGACAGCTCTGAGTCATGAAGCTCCGTTTCGGCGAGATATTCGGTGCCGCCGTGACGAAGCTCCGCCCCCTCCTCATCCTCCATTGTGGTGAGCGGCGCCCCCTGCCAGGCAGTTTCGGTGAAGACCACAGGCGGCAGGTCTGAAGTGGGGGAGGATGAGGGTCCGGTTGTGAGCGGCGTGAGGTACCGCCATTCGTCCTCTTCCTCCTCATCCAGTGCGGTGGGGAAAACCACCAACTCTTCCTCGTCCTCCTCTTCCTCAGAATCATCCAGGTGTGGTTTGTCAGGCTGCAGGGGCTCCCGGCTGGGCAGGGGGCCGATTTCAGGAGCCGTGGGCGCTTGTGTTACCTCACGGCCCCTCTCGTCATCAAACGGGTCGTCGGATGTCAGACGCCTGTCATGCCCAGCTGGCTGGTTCTGACGTGCGAGTCCAAGGAGGTGGGGCGTGGCAGTGGAGTAGGCGTGGTCTTGGGCACCTGCGATTGACGGCCCCGGGGAGGGGTGCAGAGGGAAGCCACTCGATTCTGAATCACTCTCCCACCGCTCCGGGTCCACGGACTCAGTCGTAGGGACAAACAATGAGGAAGAGAGGTTCGTCACAATGGGCTTTTGGCTCAGAGAAAGTGGTGAAGATGGTGGTTCTGGGGATGAAGGGCTGTAATCTAGGATGAAATAAAGCAAGAAAAGTTGTAAACATTTCAGAGACAAAGTACACAAACTCTAGTATCCTAAACTATACTGTGCTAAACTGAACTATTCTAAATTATGTTTATACTAAGCTATAACTGTATAGTTGGTATTTGTAGTTGGTTTTTCAAGCTTGGTAGTATTGGGATTTAGAGACCAACCGATACTGACTTTATATGATTGATACAATACCGATTATTTAAAAATGTAAGTGTCTGAGAGCCAAAAATTATTTCTTTATTTATGCTGTTAGAATACATCAGGGTTATTATAATTAACTAAAACTAAAAACATTTAAAAAAATTAGTTACTTGGAAAAAATTTACAAAAATAAAATTTTTCAGTATAACATCTGAAATCACTAAATCGAAAAAATCTAGCGATTTAAAGCAAAAACGAATTATGAAAATACTTAAAAATAAATAAAACAACCCAATTTTTTAACGTTTTCTAACATTTAATTGAAATTAGAAAATATAAAAATAAAACAATTTCAAAATATTATTAAAAACTAAAATAGTGCATTAATGAAACTAAAACAACACTGGACTACGCCAATAAAATCATTATATGCATTACAGATATTTAACAATATGATATATTATAATAATTAACTATATAAAAATATTTTAATGTTTTTTAGTATGAAATATTACTTTTTATTTATGCAATTATATTGATGCAAAGTTGTGATATAAATAGTCATAAACGTAATCTAAACATAGCTTAACATTGTCTTTAGAGACCCATTATTTATCGGTAGACTTAATATTAAACAACCGATAACCCAAGTTTAAAAGTGTGAATATCGGTAAAAGTATGAATATCGGCCATCTCAAGTGGGATACAGAAAGGTCAAAGATGCCAAAGTCTTGTATAATATAGCAAAGCCTAAAGTATACTGAAGCTTATTAAAAGCATGTTATATTATTGCATAACCTTGTAAACATTTAGTTTGTTGAGTTTTACATGATAGTTCATTGATATAGAGCAATCAAGTACATGATTACAAAACACTGATTAAGAAACTGCTGTTTTCACAGTATAGTATAGTAGGATGAGGTTGTTTAGTAAGATCTGACGGGAGCATGCTGTCTTATTCATCTTAAGTTTCTTGAGTACAGCAGATTCGAGCAGCTGCACTGCAGCACTGCACCTGCGTTTGGCACAACACACACATCAGGGACCCGAGAGCTCTCGAACGCAGCCTGATTATTCATGAGACACACACACTGCCACACTGAAACGCGCTGTAATGCGGAGAGCTATTGTCTAGAGTCAGCAGGAGAGAGACAATATATCTATACTTTATCAAGAAAATTATCATAACTGGATGTAATAAAAAAAAGCAGCGTACCAGAGACTGTGTGGCAAGCTTTGGCACACTCCTCCAGTGACAGGAAGTTATTGCGATTCTCTCTGCAGCCCCCAAATATGAAGTTTTCGCACTTTTTAGTGACGGGGTTAAAGTGCCAGCGAGGGATCGCCCCACGACAAGGTCCCACCTTCTTGGGCATCAGACAGCGCTCTGAGAGCAAAAACAAACAAATACATCTACTACTTCTGAAAGCATCTTTTAGAGAACAATAACACAACTGCAAATTTGACAGCAACAGAGTCAGTGTTTCTCGACATCGCCTAAGATCCAGTGGAATCATTCCTCCCTCCATTCAGTTACTGAACTGCTCTGGCTTGGGATGAAAAGCATCAGGTAACTGGAGGTCTTCACACTAATTAAAGACAGTGGATGTGTGAAAGGGACAAGAGGAATGAAAACTCCTGTGAGAGTAGACAAAAAGAGCACAGGGATAGATAGATAGATAGAATGACAGAACAACAGATCGACAGATAAGACAAAAATCTAGACAGATACAGACAACAATAGATAGATATCAATAGAACGATATATAGATAGAACAACAGACAGAATGATAGAACGAATAAAGGATAGATAGATAGAACAATAGACAGATAGACGTCTAGACAAAAATCTAGACAGACACAGACAATAGATAGAACAACAGACCGAACGATAGATAGATAGAACAACAGAACGATAGATGGATAGATAGAACAACAGACCGAACGATAGATAGATAGAACAACAGAACGATAGATGGATAGATAGAACAACAGACCGAACGATAGATAGATAGAACAACAGAACGATAGATGGATAGATAGAACAACAGACCGAACGATAGATAGATAGAACAACAGAACGATAGATGGATAGATAGAACAACAGACCGAACGATAGATAGATAGAACAACAGAACGATAGATGGATAGATAGAACAACAGACCGAACGATAGATAGATAGAACAACAGAACGATAGATGGATAGATAGAACAACAGACCGAACAATAGATAGATAGAACAACAGAACGATAGATAGATAGATAGAACAACAGAACGATAGATAGATAGAACAACAGACCGATAGACAGATAAATAGAACAACAGAACGATAGATAGATAGATAGAACAACAGAACGATAGATAGATAGAACAAGACCGAATATAAAGGATAGATAGATAGAACAATAGACAGATAGACGTCTAGACAAAAATCTAGACAGACGATAGATAGATAGAACAACACACAGAACGATATAGATAGATGATAAAACAACAGATAGATAGATAGAGATAGATAGATAGATAGATGGATAGAACAACAGACCGAACGATAGATAGATAGAACAACAGAACGATAGATAGATAGAACAACAGACCGAACGATAGATAGATAGAACAACAGAACGATAGATAGATAGA